CCCCCCCTGCCCGGCGGCTCCGTCAAACCAAAGACCACGTCGCCCGAGAAGGCCCACCGAGTCACCTCCCCATCCAGCGGGTATTCCAGCCAGTCCAACACGCCCACCGCGCTCACCCCCGTGCCTGTGTTTTTAAAGTCCATGTCGCCAGCCAATGGGAAGGGCAAGCCCAAGCCCAAGGTTCCGGAGAGGAAGTCCTCCCTGGTGTCTTCGCTCTCCATCTCCTCGTCGTCCACGTCCCTGTCCTCTAATACGTCCACGGAGGGAGGCGGGACGGTGAAGAGGCTGGACTCGGCGCCGGCCTCTCTGCCTGCTGCCCCTTCTCTTCCCTCTCCTTCCTCTCCATGTCCTGCGGACAAGTCTCCTTTCCTCCCTCCTCCGCCGCCTTCAGCAGACTCCCCCGAGGGCCCTCTGCCTCGGTCTCCCCTGTTCCCCCCTCCACCCCCAGAGGTTCTCTCTCCCTTCTGTTCTCCAGATGCAGGCTTTCCTCCTCCCGCCACCGCCCGGAGCCCCCTTCTGGGCTCACCTGCCCCGGTGCTACCCCCTCCACCGTCTTTACCCTCCTCGGTCCCTCCTCCTGCCCCGCCACTCGACCCCAAATTGATGAAAGATGCCAGGCCTTCATTCAAAAAATCTAGCCAGCCAACCTCCCCCCAGGAGGCCTGCAGACCCCCGGGGACCACAGAGGAGGGCGGCAGGCCTCCCCTGCCCCTGATCACCGCCGAGGCCCTGCAGACGGTGCAGCTCAGGCCGGTGAGAAGGAACTCAGGAACCCAGGGAGCACCGCTATCTGAACCAGCATCTCAGGAAAAACGAACTCCGCCGGTGCCCCAGTATCATTTAAAGCCATCTGCCTTGCTGAAATCCCGAAATAGCATAAATGAAATGGAGAGTGAAAGCCAGCCTGCCTCCGTGACAAGCCCGCTTCCGACTCCTGCCAAGATCATGAGTCAGGGTCACCGGGACGGTGCAGCCGAGCGTGGCCGCCGGAGCCGCAGCCCGGGCAGTGCCGGGGAGGCAGAGGCCGGGCCGGTCCCCGGGGCCGCCCCGCTCCAGAGGGCACCCGGACCTTCGCCCAGCAAGAAGCCACCCCCCATTTCGAAGAAGCCCAAACTGTTCCTGGTGGTGCCACCTCCGCAGAGAGATTGCACAGTGGAGCCAGCAGAGAACGTGAGTGGAGCGGCGCCCAGCCCCACGAGGGGAGAGGCCAACGAGACTGGTGCAGCCCCGGCTGGTTCTGATGAGACCGACTCCTCCGGCAGCTCGGTTCTTGAGGGAGGAGCTGCAGGACCCACGTCCCCAGGCAGAAGGGAAGCCAATGCCTCCATGGTGCAGCCCAGTGCCTCGCCAGCCCCCAGGCAGGAGGAGCCAGGCACCGAGAACAGCGTGGACCACGGGGGCCATGAGGAGGAGAGCTGCCCGGCTCTGCAGGACCCAGGGCGTGAGTCTGGTTTTCTCTCTTGTTCCTCTCCGGCCATGTGCAGCCGAGGCAGGCAGGGCTGGTGCGTGTGCACGTTAGAGCCAGCAGTCGGTTTCCTGTGCTGCCTCACACTTAGGTTAATAGCTTGGCATTGTGTGAAATGTTAAAAAAAAAAATCTAGATCTAAGGGTAGAGCTTACAGAAGGACAGAGAACAGAGGGGTGGAGGGGGTGGTGGTCTGCAGCAGGCTGGGTATTAAATAGCACTGAGCATTCTCCCTTCTGGAGAGCCACAAAGTAATGTTACAACACGATTTAAGAGCTTCATTGGGAGATCTAGACTTGAACACAAAAGAAAGAGCTTTGGCCAGCATGCCCCCGTATTTGTAAAATATCAAACCCCATTGCCTGTCCTGTGGTTCTCACGTTGTCAGGAATGACAGGGAAGCATACTGGGAGCTTGGCGAAAGACTGAAATTCAAGTCACTTGTGAATCTTGTGTTTGCTGCTTGCTTCTCCATAGCTCGGGTGCCGGAGTCCGGCGCGGCTGGCTCTTCCCCAGAGGTCTTTGACTTCCTTAAGGAAGAAGGGAGTGATGAGGTGATGACCCCCAGTAGACCCCGGACCACAGAAGACCTCTTCGCAGCTATTCACAGGTACCCAAAACTCCTCCTATTTCCTTCTCCTTTTTGAGTCCCCCTCTTCCAAATGGTTCCTCAATTTATATTCCTTTCTTGAGGTTTCTTCTGTCACCCAATTAGGTTTCATTAACTGGATTATTTTCATTAACTTGATTTATTTTCAGGTGTTTCTATGTTTTTATTTCCTCGGACTCCGGTTTCTGTTTTACTGTGTTCCACTAATTTTTATGATGACATAGGGACCAGAGGCTCAGTGTGATGCCTCTGGTCAGCGCTGCTCTTGCTGGCCAGGAGTGCACTGTGTCAGTCATATGACAGGGTATGTAGGAGCTGGATTAGAGCAGCCCTGGTCCAGTCCAGGGGAGGAAGGCTGTGTTCTGTGGACGTGAGATGCACAGACTAGCGCTACAGGACAGGAACTTCCTAATGGCGCAGCATTGTTGTTGTTTATTTTACAGAAAAACCAGGAATTTGTAGTGCAATTTCTTCGGCTGCTTACATGTTTCAATAAGAGAGTACATCTTTTTTAAGCAGGAGCAAAAGGAATTAAATCTACTTGCTTTACTGTATGCTGCTGGTGCCACCTACTGGCCTCAGAGATTACTGGGTTTGAAAAAATAAAGAATAAACATTTTTAAAAGAACTGCCTGTACTATTATACTTTTCAGATGTGGTCACCTTGAGTGAATAGAACTTAACACTAAAGTTTTACTTACTGCCTCATTTTTCTGGTTGTGAACAGCCAAGTGCTCTCACAACAGTGACATTGTAAAAACTATTAAGATTGTATCTGTGCAAGTACTTTCTATAAAACCTTTGCTTCTTCCTAAACTTCTCCACCGCAGTATTTTCAGATCACTCTTACACGTGCCCTTATCCTTCCAAAATCTTGTATTGCCCTGAATCAAGGTTCCTTTTTTCCCTCCGGAAACAAAAAATCCTGATGTGGGACTAACCTTGTGTATGACCATTTTCCCGATTCTTGGAATATAACAAAAACTATTGCATGCGATGAAAAGCATTGGGCTGTCCCTACCTGAAATTCCTCATGCAACACATAAACACCTAATTTGGGAGAGAGAAAAAACAAGCTGGCAAATTAAGGTGTTTGTGAAGAATTATATTTTTTACCTCTTGGCTCTAGTATTAGTATAATATCCCAAAAGACCCCCCAGACTGTTCCTTTAACATTCTGTTCCACAGACTGTTCCTTGTCTGACTGTTCTCTTTGATATCATTAGGAATAAAAAGGTAGTTACCAAATTATTTCTTGAAACAGCGAAACGAACAATGATGCAATCTTTGAAATCAACTTTAATGGCATGTCTAGAGGCTTACACAGCTGTTTCTAAGACTAACCATGCTAGATACATAATAAGCACTCAATAAATATTTTCTGAATTAAATGAAACCAATTGGTATTTAACTGTTTGGAAGTTGTTCCAAGACTCGACGGCTTTCATTTAGTATGGAATGCACTGGGTTGCTAACTGTGCAGGCGTATGTATTTATAACAGCAGTCCGCAAGGAAGATGTGTTGCTTGGCCACTCTGTGTACTAAATACTTGGTCTCAGTGAGAACCCAACTGTTGTGGGCCCAAATTACAGCATGCTTTTCCTAAAAATATGCCAAAGATCTTCTCTATATTTTATTTTAGCAACCTTCTTGAGGCCCTGAAAAATTTGAGGTTTCTCTTACTAGAGAATTATATCTAGAGCGTAATTATAATTATGTCTACAGCAGATGTAGGAATTGGCCTGTCTGAATTATCCTGTGTGTGCATGGAAGCCGTAAAGGCCACGTAGAATAGGATTGTAAAGAGAAAGCCAAGGACATGTGCTGGTTTTTATTTTAGCACAGACAGTATATTAGCAGACATAATCCAAATCCACCTAAAGTTTGTGATTTTTAGGGCTTTATTTTATATCCCCTTCAGTACCTAAGCTAATAGTTCAAAGTAAAGAATATCTAAATTGAAACACAGCTTTCAAGTTTCAGAATGCAAATAAATTCCCTTCAGATTGGAAGCCAGATGGAACATGTAGCACACCAGTTGAGGTGTGAAATTTTTATATTCATTGAAGTAATTAGTTTTCAAGCCAGAGTTAACTGTTTAAGCACCTTTTACAGCCATCTTCTTTAAAAATACACACACAATATAAAAGAGAATTCAAATGTTTAGACTTAATTCTCATTTTAGAGGACAGCTGTTCTTGAAAAACAGCACTACTTTTTATAAATTTACATCCCTTCTCTTAATTCTGAATCTGCAGTTAAAGGCCATAGTTTTAATCAAGGATAGCTGTGGGTTGTTGTGTGGCGTTCGGCACATCCTCTTTGTTGAAAAACCAAACAAAAAAATGACATCACAAACCAGTACCTGCAAAAATGGGATGGGCAAAGCTGCTTTTGGAGGGGCAACCTGTAGAAATTGTGAAGCCATGTGCTATAAATGGAAAAATACCGCATCAGGTCCCAGTTCTTGTAATTCAGCCGTGTGACTTCACTCTTTAGACCTCAGGCACCTTCTTTGGTCAGACCAAACCATCTGAAGTCCTTTCCAGCTCTACAATTCAAAGATGTTAGTATTTCTATGGTTTCTGTCCATCGCTCATTAATTTACTCTAGAACAGCGGTTCTCAACCTGTGGGTCGCGACCCCTTTGGGGGTCGAACGACCCTTTCACAGGGGTCGCCTAAGACCATTGGAAAACACATATATAATTACATACTGTTTTTTTGAGTAATCACTATGCTTTAATTATGTTCAATTTGTAACAATGAACTTGGGGGTCACCACAACATGAGGAACTGTATGAAAGGGCCGCGGCATGAGGAAGGCTGAGAACCACTGGTCTAGGGCATTGCTTTTATTGACAGCTGAGCAGGACCATTGGACCTAGATACCATAGGCAGGCTCTGCATTCCCAAAGGGGCTGGTGCCACATCAGGTCTGGCCACCTTTCAGCCTCTGAATTGCGTCCTCACTACTTCCTGTTTTCCACTTTGGTGGCTCCTTTTTGGCCAGAAGCAGGGAGAGGACCCTGGGAGCATCAAACCCAGGACAGCCATCATGGCCCACCCTCCCCCATGCCTTGCTGTGCAGGTCACATGAAAACAGCACTGAAGTCTGACCTAGAGGCAGGAAGGGAAATTAGATTTTCTAAGTGACACTCAAAGGTTTATTAAGCACCTTCTCTGTGCCTGACATTTTATGGCTGATATTGCATCCATCTTGATCGCTGAATTATGTGCTATCTGCTGTTATTCCCCTTTTCCATATAGGAAACAGGACCAGAAATTTTAAGTTGCCCAAGGTAACTGAACAAGGTCGCTTTAAGCACTGGGAGTGCACCCAGGTCCATGTGACTCCACAGATTCTTTATCTCGTGGAATCCTCACAAACCTGTGAGGCTGATATCATCATCCCCATTTTACAAGTATGAACACCGAGGTGCGGTATAGATGAGTAATGGCCCAAGGTCACACAGCTAGAAGTTGGTAGTGCTCAGTTTCGACCCTTGATCTGTGTGTACAGATAGCATCCTCTCAACCTTTCCCTGCTGCATATTCTAGAATTTTATAGCAGAAAAATAAATATTCCTGCATCTTTATTCACTAGATGTACCACGTTTCCTTAAAGCAAGTCCACCTGTACTTGGCTAACGGATTCCTGGCACACTGAATTGTTGTTATGAAAAGACCGGCAAGGGGCCACTTGGCTCATCTGCTTTATTATCTCTGACTCACTCTCAGCAGAAAACACATGGAACAGGGAGGTTCTTAGCGACTGAGGACAAGAAATACCTGCAGGAAACATTTCACTCTCCCTGAAGGCCCCTCCTCTCTCATGCTCTCTCCACAGCCCCACATTTTCCTGATCAGCTAGAAGTTCTCTGACATGAGTCACAAAACAGGACATGGCGTGGGAGGTTCGCTGTTGTTTTCTGGACCATTGGACTTATAGGAGTTGACACATGGCCCAGTAAGAGCCAAGGAAGACTGGTTTTATGTCAAACTCTTGTCGAATTGTTCTAGAACCTGGGTGGGGGCCCTTCTCAGTAGAGGGGTAGGGTATTCTGGAAATTGGCTGTTAGGCCTTTTCATTGCCAGCACCATGAAATCCAGTCAGGCTCAGTCCAATGTAGGAGAATTAAATTAGAAATGACAGTTATTAAAAACTTTAGCCGAAACCGGTTTGGCTCAGTGGCTAGAGCATCAGCCTGCGGACTGAAAGGTCCCAGGTTCGATTCCGGTCAAGGGCATGTACCTTGGTTGCGGGCACATCCCCAGTAGGGGGTGTGCAGGAGGCAGCTGATCGATGTTTCTCACTCATTGATGTTTCTAACTCTCTATCTCTCTCTCCCTTCTCTCTGTAAAAAATCAATAAAGTAAATATTTTTTAAAAAACTTTAGTAATGGTCCTATCCAGTTATTATGTCTGAGATTTGTTTCAGAATAATCCAGTGAGGGTGGAGTTTAAAGAAGAGAGGCCATCAGTTAATAATGATAGCTGGGTCATGGGCACACATGGTAAACACAATGAACTATTCTTGTGCATGGGTGTGTGGAGGTTTACATAGATGGTGACCTGAATGTGCAGTAAGATGAGCATGGTGGTTGTGGCTGACATCCAGTGGCCCATTTGGAATTAACTTTATCTTAATGTTATTAAATCTCAGATCCAAGAGGAAAGTCCTTGGCCGTAAAGATTCAGAGGACGACCACACCAGAAACCATTCTCCCTCCCCGCCAGTGACGCCCACCGGTGCTGCCCCCAGCCTGGCCTCCCCAAAGCAGGTGGGATCGATCCAGAGAAGTGTCCGCAAGAGCAGCACCAGCAGTGACAACTTCAAAGCTCTGCTGCTGAAAAAGGGGAGTCGGTCAGACACCAGTGCCCGCATGTCCGCCGCCGAGATGCTCAAGAACACAGACCCTAGGTTCCAGAGGTCAAGGTCGGAGCCCGCGCCAGACGCTCCCGACAGCCCGTCCAGCTGTTCCCCGAGCAAGAACAGAAGGGCCCAGGAGGAGTGGGCCAGGAACGAAGGCTTGATGCCTCGGAGTCTGTCCTTTTCCGGCCCCAGGTACGGCCGCAGTCGAACCCCACCTTCCGCAGCCAGCAGCAGGTACAGCCTGCGGAACCGGATCCAGAGCAGCCCCATGACCGTCATCTCGGAAGGCGAAGGGGAGGCCACGGAGCCCGTGGACACCAGGGCTCGCCGTGTCCTGGGCGCTGCAAGGGGCTGTTCCCTGGACGGACTGGTCGGGGATGACATGGATAGGGGCAGCCTGCCATGTGGCCCCACAGATGGGACAACCAGTGCCCAGGGCAGGGGCCCGTCGGAACAGTGCGGGGGTCCTCTGAGGGAAGCAAGTTAGGGGCAAGGATGGGATCTCCCAGGTGACGTGCGGGAGATGCACAACCCATCGCTCTAGGGAGCCTGAGGAACCCTTCCCTGTCTGCCCAGGGATCCCGCCCTGGTGTGTGCTGTGGACCCGGGCACTGCCATGCCGGCAGTGGATGCGGGTCACTTGGACTCACTTGGCACTCGCCCTGTGGCTTAAAAGCAAGTAGAAGCTTAACTTCTGAAAGTGCTTCCTGGGGAAGATCTTTTTTTTGTTGTTGTTAAACGTTGGGTGTGTGTGAATAGGTGTGTATGTGTGCATTTTGAGCACTTTTTATGTTTAAGAAAATACACAGACACACAGCATGTACAGATATATGAGGAGAAAAAGACACAGGTAGAGTAGTGGAAGCTTCTGGACTAGGTGGCGACGCTTTGAAAGTATGTGTGGAAATGAGTGCGTTCCAGAAGGGAGAGGACCATGGCTTCGAGGACGAGGTGGTAGATTTGCTGGTTCTGAGTGCACAGAACGCATGGGTATACGCACAGGTGTGCTTTCGTGGTTAACCCGGAAGGTGGGGAAAGGGCTAAGTGACTAATGGGTTCAGGTACTTTTTTTCTGGGGGAAAAAAGGCTTTGTTTCTTTTTTGTAAAAATGACCAACATGTGGAAGGGACACGCTGTAGTCGGAGCCTGCTGCCGTGCAGCCACAGACACAACTCTCAGCCCGATTGTTAGAAACGTGGGTAATTTCCTCCTTTATAGCGGGGACCTTCGAGAACTGAAATGAGGGTGTGCACATGCAGAGAGAGAGAGAGAAGGCAGAGGAGCGAGTGATACACTGCTGCAATTTGTTTCCTGCTTATGAAATAAACTTATTTTTCAGAATGAAATTTGAAAACTTGCACTACAGAACTGTGGGTGGAGCTTTTCCTTGTACAACTGTTTTTACCAGAGTTTAAACGTCCATTTGGCAATTTCTTATCACTTGAAACGTCAACATTTGCTAACTTTTGGATATCCTTTTGGTTACACCAAAGAAAAAGTTATGGCTATTTTTCCTTGAACTGCCTGCAGTATCATATCCTCACTGAGAAAGGTTTATCGAAATCTATTATATATTATCTTACTTTGATGAAAATGCTGAATAGCTCTTGTTAGTCTAATAAACTGATAAAAATTGGTAGGGCTTGGCAATGAATTAGCCCTGGGAAATGAGTTTTTAGATTAAAAAGATTTTTTTTGCATCACGTGGTTTGTGTGTGTTTATATTTTTTATAAATAATTGAGTTAGGTAATTACCTTCCAATCTTCTTCAGTTAGAATGTTAACACTTTTAGACATGGGAAAACGTGTGTAAAGTATTTATTTTTATGTCATGTTCTTGTGACCCCTCCCCCCCACACCGTCCTGACTGCCATGTACTTGATTTGTTGGTGAAATAAAATCGGAGTCTTGTCTTCTTCATTAGAGGGACCTAAGGTGGCAACGCTGAGATGCGTGGATTACATACAAGACAGCTGCCTAATGTCATCTTCCCTGATGTGAAAATACCATCTCAAAGTTGGACCGCACAGGCCAAATCATCGTAATGTTCAGATACCCACTTTAGACACATCTTTGAGACAAAAACAAACAAACAAGAAAACCAACCCTAAAGAATTAAGGCTCCTTCCATTCTCTGAAAAAAACAAAAAACACTTTGTTTCACACAACAGAAATCAAGACCCGTCATTTGGCCAAAAGCAAAGGATTTTTTTACCTGTTGGAGCAACTGTCTACTACATGGGGAACAAGGACTTTTTTTCTTCTTAATTTTAGAAAAGTAGTGTTGGCTTTTGGATATGAAATCTCATAGGTACCTAGAAAAGATTAGAATGTACATGGCTATCAAGAACTTTAACTTAATATACAAATCAAATATGTTGAGGATAAGATAAGCAACATCAACACTAATTATAAAACTATTTTTTAAAAACCCCATTTTTAGCCCTAACCGGTTTGGCTCAATGGATAGTGTTGGCCTGTGGACTGAAAGGTCCCAGGTTCGATTCTGGTCAAGGGCATGTACCTTGGTTGCTGGTACATCCCCGTGGGAGGTGTGCAGGAGGCAGCTGATCAATGTTTCTAACTCTATCCCTCTCCCTCTCTGTAAAAAATAAAATATATATTTTTTAAAACCCTTTTTTAAAGGAAAATATATTAGGTTTTTTAATTTGCTTTGAATAAAACAATTGCAAAGGAAATATTTGAACATTATTTCTTTTTGTGAGTACATGGGTTTTTGAGCAATGTGCAGAGCTGTTGAGTGCTTTGCTGGATGCAAACAGAAGAGCAGTGAAGACCAGACGGTGCCCGTGGGAGGTGGGACCCAACAGAGAGGAGTTAGAACATCCCAGACTCTGGATTGTGCCACCTCAAATATGTTGGCACATCCAGACAAACAACTCTAAACGATGTCCCAGGGACTTTTGAATAAAATACGAATAATGTATTGACTAATAGTACAGATGATGTGATGTGGAGAGATGCAAGAATGGCGTCCAGGCATGGATGACATACGGGGAAACAAGAATCTAGATTCCTGCCTGAACCATAGGGCATCTTTAGTTTTACTGCTGTATTCCTCAGGGCCAGCTACAGTTAACGGACCAGGTCATACTAAAAACTCAATGAGGGTAGACTTGACCCTTCGTTCTACCCTGAGACCTTAAGTGCCAGATCGTCATAGACAGAAGCCCCAGGCCTAAATGATTTCCACTGTAGTTTTTCTAAAAGTTGGGAGAGAAAGAAATACCTACTTGGATTGTCTGTTGGAAGCAGCCTCAACTTTGGTCTGATTTCTGCCCTCCTGTTTCTGAAGAATATTGATTGAAACCATTGCTTCTCATGTGTGGATGAGTCTGTGTGTTTGTGGAGAATCACAATGATAAGAAAGAAAGGTCATGTATCTGTATCTCTATCGTACTCCCCACCCACCACCACACCCAGCTCTGGTGGCCTCCTGGGAGGACTAGTGAAGCTGGAGATTGGCTTTATTGGGTCTGTTTTAATGTGTTTTCTGCCCATTAGGTGAATATGAGTAATTATGTGTATTGCTGAGATTCTGTCATGAGATGAACAAGGTAGGATACTTTACTTTGGCAGCTATTAGGATATTGTTGGGGGAGGAGGGAAGGGAGTTTTGGATAAAGCATGGACCTGCTTTTTGAGGTCTCTTTTTTCTGTAATAAGCTGTTCAGTTACTATAATCTAGTTTCTTTCAGTGAGTTGCTTTAAACTACCTTCCACACAGGCCCACCTTTAGTTACAGAACAAAGACTAGAGCACATCTGTAGTGCATGTTCAGCAATGAAGGGAAAAAAAAGCCCTTTATTAAATACATCTCATGTCCTAGATGAGGATGAGGAAGTTCTAAGATAGAAAAATGTGGATGAGATCTCATTAAGGAACTTCAAAGCTAGTGAAGAGAGGCATCAACAATGGGCTATTCTGTAAAACAGATCAGTGTGGGAGCAGAGGAAGGGGAAGAACATTCAGGGCAAATCCTGCTGGGACCCCGGCTGGCATGTGTTTCCTTTACAAACAGAACACCTGGAATTGGTTCAGGCTGGCAATGCACCCGGCTGGCATACCAGACCCCTCGCCCCACTGTTGCCTGGGAAGTTGCTTTCCACATGGAGGTGCCATCCCTCTTGTGGCTTCCTCGCCCCTCTTCTCCCTGGAGCGGATGGGAAGCTGGAGGAGGAACAGTGCTCTTGCAAGCTGAAGCACCAATAAGGATGGAGCCACAGGGTGTGGAAGGCAGAGGAGCCTGGTCCAGTGAGAACACCTTGGGCTGTCCACCTCCAGGCTCACTGGGTAAGTATTTTTCACTGACTTTGCAGGTGAGAGAGATGGTTCTCAGAGGAAGATGTCATGGCATTGGCTGTGGTGAACCTGAGCTAAGACTTCAGATGAGGAGGATCTCACCCAGCATAGGGAGTTGGCAGAAGAAAGTCATTCCAGACTGAAGAAATAACCTGAGCAAGGACACAGAGGCAAAGTGTTTAGAGGAAGCCGTGTAGCTAAAAGAAGTCTCTAGTAAAATAGAGTGGGACTTGATACTACAATGGTCACCTGGAGTAAGACTGTAGAGGGCCTGGGATATCATTTTAAAAAATTAGGATTTGTTTTGTAGTGCTGGGGAATAACAAAGGTTTTTAAGAAGAGGAATGATGTAACTTGGCTTGGTTCGTAGCCTTGTTTACAAGCTACACATTCCACTGGTGGGCTGTGGTCAGAGTGATTAGAGTGTGTGGAAAGGGAGAGCCTGATGAGGAAAGGAAAGGGGCTAATCGGTGGAGCACGAATTAGCCCAACAGCAAAGGTAGAAGGTTTAGCTTAAGTAAAAGTCCAGACATGAATTTCCTACAGATATGAGAATAAACATCTCAAAAGAGAAGTTGACATAAGGGATACCTTGTAATCATGCCACCTACATCATTACAATAACTGACTCACTGCCATGAAAATTACTCTCGGATTGATCAGTGCTGGAAAATGTTTTGGTTTATGCATTATGGGAGAGGAAGGGAAAATGGGATACCTGGACTTTAGTATGAAATTGATTTTTTATTGAACATGTTTCAGATTCCAAAAATATCTGAGTGACCAGGAATATGCTTATGTAAAGTGGGATTTATTGCATAAGAGATGCCTATTTTATATAGGACTGTAGGGGAAGTGTTAGAAATAGTTACCTCTTACCAATAGAGGCTGGTATTGTGGACATTCGTCAGGAGGGCTAGAAGGTAGTCTCTAGTTGGGGATGATAAATGAATTAAAAAAATTTTTATGTCTTCTTGGCAAGCATAAACATGCAAAGAATCAGTCAATGTAAACAGATACCTTTGGAAAATAATTGCCTGGGATTTTAAAATTTATACCCATAATAATTCCAGAACCAGAAATCTAGCTAGTTTTCTATCAAAAATTACAGTCTAAAAGGTATGTCTGAAGTTATCATCACAATGATTATGCATGTAATATGCAAGAACACCTCCAGACGGCCCTAGCCCGCTCTTGCCCGCTACCTGCCAGTGGGGCATAGCGGTTAACAGCATGGACGGAGGAGTCAGCTGCCTAGGCTCCCATCAGCCTCCGTCCTTAGTTTCCTCTGAGGCATGTGACCTACCATCTGTGCCTCAGTGTCCTCGTCTGTAAAACAGATGCTGCCACGTGGCACACAGCACTGAATCTGGTAATTCAGGTAAAGCACTTGGGATGATACACCTAGAAGACAATCCGTAGCTAACTGTAGGTACGTTAGTCGATTGTATGCAGATTAGGGACATCAATTTTAAGGGATAGTATATGATGTTGGTGTTGAAGGGACCTTAAGCAACCTCTGGCCCCACCCTCCCAACCATTGGATACTCAGATCTCCTATGTAAATGATCATGTGGTCCCCACTTAAACCACCCAGTGCTGGGAAATGGAACAAGTGTCATTCGTGGGCAGCTCTAATTATTGGAAGTTACTGAGGTCCAACTTGCAACCGTCAACCCCCCAGGATCCCACAGCAAAGCTAATGCCCTTCCCCACAACAGGCTTCTAGGCACCTGAATGTGACATCTTCCCAGGACAAGCAGTTTCCAACACAGGTGATAATGTCAACCTCCTTGATTTTGGGGCATCCCAGTCTTTTATTAGTCATTTTTACAGGACCTCCAGAAAGACTACACGAAATCATTTAAAAATTGAAGTGAATTTTAAAATTACACGTTTGTATACATTTGTTCAGGAAAAACATACCTTTACTGAATATCAAAATTAGATAGGAAGTCCCTAATCTTATAAATTTAATCTTTGCCACAAAATATTATCAAAACTTTTGGGTACTCTGTGAGTTTGGGCAGATGGGGAGGAGGAATCAACAGAATGTAACAGCGGCTGCAAATGACAGTTCAATTCTTTGTGTCCAACCCTAACTTCACCTCTCTAAGCTGGACAGTCCAGTAGTGCCACACAAGGTAAATCTTTAACGTTTGTATTGCTACTGTCTGGAGGGATAGCATCCAATTGACACGGATCCAGTAGAAAAAAGCAACATCATTACGATACAGAGAAGATTTATTGCTACTGTCTGGAGGGGATAACATCCAATTGACATGGATCCAGTAGAAAAAAGCAACATGGTTATGATACAGAGAAGAAGGGGAAGTAACATGATATTTCCCTGGAGCCTCATAGAACTAAAGACCACCAGGACTATGACCATTTCCATGTTCATAGAATGTTGTCCCCTATTATCTGTGTATCTTGATAAAGCTTCAAGCATTAAAAAGGCACATTGGAAGTAGGCTCAAGTCATATGTGTATTCTCAAGGAGAAGATACTAGACACACATTTTACTTCTGGGTGTGTTAATGTCTATATTAGAGTTCAGCCCCTGGCGATGCTACTTCTTTTCATTTTCTCATTCATTTTCTTTGGAGGGTTCATTTTTCTGAATCAGCCACACTTCATTATTTCTATTAAGCAAATTAAAAGGACTGTTGTAGCCTGCAGTGTAGTAAACCTTTTCATCGAAAACTTTTCCTTCTTCCCTCAAAACGCTTGCTAATGTCAAAAGTTGTTCTTGATTCTTTTGGGCGCTAGAGAATCCATCGAAAGACCTACAAAGGAGAACGTAGATAACCGTGAATGGTTTTAGTACCGGCGCTGTCAGTCTGAAAAGAAAAGCAGGAGCTGATACAATGAAGTTGGATAAAGCCGAGTTTCAAAGCTCCACCTGCTTAGCCCCTGAACCCAGCATTCCCTTCCTCTAGTTCCCGGTCTCAGTGTCACCTCCGCACACACAGGAAGGAGAACCAGGAGCAGGGATCCGGCCCATCTGCTGGCAGGTAGATACAGAATTCACACTTCCCGTCCTCTAACTCTGCTTCTCAAACTTCAACGTGCACACGAATCTTGCTAACATGCAGATTCAGGAGGTCTGGGAGGGGGTCTGAGAGTCTGTACGGTTTCTAACTGGCTCCCATGCTGCTGCCGCTGCTGCTGGCCAGAGGGCCACACTGAAAGCCACTCAGAAGCCTCCCTTCCAGACTTGACATTTTCTCTAGAACATTTTGCCTTTCTTCCTCTCCTTGGGCAAAGGACAGGCACTAACTGATGGATGAATGTAGTTTTGACCCTATTGACTTACAGTCTGAAGCAAGAGACAAACATTTTGGTAACTCCCTCTCTATAGCTTGGGAAGAGATTTAACAGAGACAGGACCAAAGTGTGTAGGGACACTGAGTACATGATTAAATCAAGATCAGGGCTGTGAACTGAGTTGGGTCTGGAATGTAGAGTGTTTCGCTGGGCAGAGAAAGGGGAGGGATACGAAAAAGAACAGAAGTCGCAAACTGCAAAGTGTTTTCACAGTGAGGCACAGCGTGGGCTCAGGAAGGTGTGGCTCAGCCGGAAGGAAAAACCTCGTAGATCATCATCCTAAGACCTTTGGAGATTATTCTTAGAAGGATGTTTGAGCAGAAAAGTAACTTTGTCAGATCTGAGTGAGATACATGGGAGGTTTGGGGATGGAAAAGAACAGACAGCCAAAATATTAAATGAAAAAGAAAAGCAGGAGCTGGGAAAGTGAGGAAAAAGCTCTGGCCAGTGTGGCTCAGTTGGTTGGGCGTCATCCTGTGCACTGAGAGATGGCCTGTTCAATTCCAGGTCAGGGCACATACGTGGGTTTTGGGCTCAGTCCCCAGTAAGGGGATGGGTGGGGGTGGGGGGGTGCACGAGGCAGTCAACCAACTGTTTCTCTCTCTCTCCCTCTCACTTTCTCTTTCTCTAAAATCAATAAAAACATTTTTTTAGAAGATTTTTTTAAGTGGGGAAAAAGAATAAAATTTAAAGCATAGATTTTAAAGTAAAGAAGCAAAAATATCCTGAGATTAAATCCTGACAGGACACAGACTTAGCTGAGTTGCTGACATGTAAACATGATGAATTTGATTTTGAAGGTTAAGAATAGGAAACACAGGGAACCAAATATGTTCCTAATACGCCTTCTTTAGCGTAAGTTTTATTATCAGTGTGCCAATGGAAAGGATCAGTCCTACCCTTCTTCAGATAAGATGTAAGCTCTCAAGGGTACAAACCAAACATGTCTATTTTACTCAACAATGTCAGGCACCTAGAATCATTCCTGGTATGCAGTCTCGTTTCAATCCTTGTTGAATAAGTGTAGGAATCTATATGCACACCTGTATATAAAACATTGAAGATAAATTGATAAAACTGTTCTATATAATTTTCAGCATGTTGACTGATAATAATTCTGGATCATGTGTTAAGAAATATTTTGTCTTTTAAATTGTTATTTTCTTTAACAATAGCCAATTCTTGGTATGTTCTGCCTACAGGAAATTTGTTTTCAGGTCCTACTTCTTCGGTGAAATCAAATCTTAAAGCCCCTAATTAGAAGTCACCTTCTGTTCTGTGAATATATATTGTTCTACAATGATCTATCCATGCTCTATTCCGTACACAAACACACCAAGCCTCCCCCACACACCTGCCTTGCTTGGAGCTGAAGGATATGGACAGAGAAAGTTATCACAGCCTAGGTGCCATTCTAAGTCCTAGAGCAGTGGTTCTCAACCTGTGGGTCACGACCCCTTTGGTGGTCGATCGACCCTTTCACAGGGGTCGCCTAAGACCACCAGAAAACACATATATAATTACATACTGTTTTTGTGATTAATCACTATGCTTTAATTATGTTCAATTTGTAACAATGAAAATACATCCTGCATATCAGATATTTACATTACGATTCATAACAGTAGCAATATTATAGTTATGAAGTAGCAACAAAAATAATTTTATGGTTGGGGGTCACCACAACATGAGGAACTGTATTACAGGGTCGCAGCATTAGGAAGGTTGAGAACCACTGTCCTAGAGGATGACCTGGACTCCCCAAAAAGAGAAGAGGAAACTAGAATTAGTAGTCATGCCATGTTCTAAGTATTTTATGTACAGTCACTTGTTTAATCATGGCAACCCTATGAATTGGGTACGACCCCTTTGGCGGTACGAACTTTCCCATGTTCTAAGTATTTTATGTACAGTCACTTGTTTAATCATGGCAACCCTATGAATTAGGTAGGTGCTTTATGATTATACACAGCTTCCAAATGCAGAGATTTGGGCAAAGGAAGTCTAGGAACTTGGCTGATGTCATAGGTAAAGAGGTGTGGAAGAACACTGCCTGCTCAGGGAAGAGTGGAAACGTCAATGGAACACGAGTTGAGGAGACAGGGTCAGGACACATTACAAAAGGCGCTGTGTGCAATGTGAATGAACAACCCAAATTTCACCCTAAAGCAGCGGTTCTCAACCTGTGGGTCACGACCCCTTTGGCGGTCGAACGACCCTTTCACAGGGGTCGTTCTAAGACCATCCCACATATCAGATATTTACATTATGATTCATAACAGTAGCAACATTACAGCTATGAAGTAGCAATGAAAATAATTTTATGGTTGGGTCACAACATGAGGAACTGTACTTAAAGGGCCAGAAGGTTGAGAACCACTGCCCTAAAGCAAGAAGAAACCAACAAAGACTTTTGAATGGAGTAACAGGTTGGGGCTTTTGTTGCCATCATAAGAAAAGCACGAGTTCCAGTGGGGGGCAAGAAAGGAAGAGACCGGTGGGCAGAGAGAGGAGCTGGGAGGCTACTGAAGTGGAATAGTCAAGATCTGAGATCAGTAGGCATGGGAGCCTCTACCTTGTCAGGCACTGTGTTCAGCAAAGTATGACTTAGGTGTGGTCCCCGTAACCATGAGGATGGAGAGATGGGAGCAGAATCACGACCCTTTCTGAGGGGAGGGGCCAGGTCTGGA